TTTACATCTCAAACCTTTCAGCTCAAACTACCACTAACACCACAGTGGTGGTCCATCAGCCCAGGACCGCAGTGCAGCCCTACAATCACCACATCTTCCGAGAGAGCGGAGTACAAATTGTGTGTCCTCACTGCTCGCAGACGATGACGACAGCCACGCGAACCACACCGGGAATGATCACGTGGATTGCATGCATCATCATCTGTGCAATTGGGTATGGACGTATTCTGCTTCTGACCCCAAAGATATATATGTAAAATACTTTAAACTGATTATTATTTTCTGTGTGAGTAGAATTATAAATGTTGAATGAAAGGAAAAGTATAGAAGACTAACTTTTGTACTTATACCCCTAGAACTTCAGTATGCTTCAACACATGCACGTACTAAATCAAAATCTAAACCTAAAATCTGTCAAGGAACCAACGGGTATGGGGAAATTCATGTACAAAACCTATGACAATGTACTAAGGGAATGAACCTTCTTTGTCAAAGGTTTTGTACCAGAACAGAAACTTTTAAGGTTTTAGAATTTTTTTGCATGTGTAATACCAGACATATAAATTCGTATGGGAAAGGTCAAGATAATAAACAGTGATCAATAAGGGGAAAAAAACATAGATGATCGAAAATTTTGGAGGTGGATTGGATGCTTAGGAAGAGAAAGCATCTCCTTTTGTCAGGTTACATCAGCCGTGTGTCTTATGTATTGATTTTGAGCATCTTTCAAAAATAATCAAAAACATTTAAATAAATTTTAATTCATTCATGAAATTTTGTTTTTGTCTTACAGAGGAATTGCCGGCTGCTTCTTAATTCCATTTTGTCTTGATGGGACCAAGGATATCGTTCATTTCTGTCCCCTGTGTAAGAAAACTGTCGGCAGATTCGTTAGAATGTAAAGAATGAAAGGAGTACTGTATGGTGAAAGGACAAATAAAGCTTGCCGGAGAAAATTCACGTAGAAGAAATGTCGTTCAATGGTGTTATCATTTCAATGATAATAATATTTTATTGTTATTGTTGCATGAAATGTGTAGAAGTTTGCACTGGTTGAAGTACCAATATTTTTGTTATTTGTTTTGAAAGATGTGCAATTCAGTTATTTTTAAAGAATAAAAAAACAATATTGGAATTGTTTTCTGTTTCTCCTACTTTGCTGTGACTGACCAAACCTTAGTCCAGATTCCCTAATGTGTCTAAACTTTAATGTTTTTTCTTTGTTTCGTTTTTGAAAAATATTAACAATTCGTAGCTTCTGATTTGAATCTTGATATAAACAGTTTGCATCGTATGCTTTAATTTCTTAATTAAAAGCATTATGATGTTTTCCTAATTAAGAATGGACTACATATAAACGAAATTGTTGGTTATTATTACTCTCAAACTTTTCATCTGAATGACTGCAAACTTTGATTATTACCGGTATTTCTGATGATTAAAAAGGGATTTTAGTTTGGAATCAAGGTTGCATCTCAAAGTTGAAGCTAGGTAGCTGTTATTAACATTGATGTGCCATTGCTAGAGTTTTCAAAATGATGGTATAAGTGGGTCGATGTTGTTATCAATGATCTATAAATATGTTCTTGTATAATTTTTTTCATTATTTTTTTCTTTTTCCCAGGTCTTAGTTGCAGAACCCTTCATTGGGGGTATGCAGTTCTTAATAGTAATTTAAAAGTAATTTAAGAGTTACAGTTTTTTCCCCAATAATATTTGTCCGGTTACGAAAATAATTGAAATGAAAAATGGAGGTAAAGAAAAGTAATCAACTCAAAAGTCAAATAAAACAACATACAGATTCATAGGAGAGCAAACACCGACTTATAAAACATCAAAGCGTGGATCAGGTGTAATGGAGGAGTAAACATCCTCTGTAGACCAGTCACATACGTGTGCTCCTTGTTATGATCGGGCAAACTTAAAATCCCATACACAATACATTGTGTAAGTAATGACCCAACTGTTAATATAAAGATGTTAATCAACATTCGACTTAATGATAGATTGCATTTGCTTACAAGGCCATTGTAACGACCATAGAACTTGCGAAGTAATAACTCAAAACAAGATTTTTAAATCCTTTTTCATCAACGTGTTTGTCAATTGCTTGCCTCGGTAAATCGCATGTTCTTGTGCATCTACATTGTAATCAAATGGCAGACATAAACCCAATATGCAGGCGATGATGACGTGCGAGTTCTGCTACATGAGTAAGGGAGTTGTCGATAGAAAATATAGAGGATACTACGTTTATGATAAAGTGTTTTTTGGTTATCATTAATTTCTTCTGTACTAAATTATGAAACAGATAGACTCCATGGTATCTTTTTTTTAAAGATTTCACTGGGATATACATGTATTGAGTCGACAATTTAACTGAAGTAACTATTGTTAATCTATTAATGTATCAACAATATATCTAAATGTCGAGTTGATGGCTTCAGCAAGTTTTTCTCTTCTCTTGTGTAAGATTTTGAAAAAAAATGTTGCCTAATTTGAATACGAAAATAGATCTGTTAATAACGGGTCGCAATTAGTACTCATGGAAAATCTGAAAGATTGTACAGACAAGTACTCTGAAGTTGATATCAAAAAGATGCTTGAGTTTCTGATTGACAATATCTATGTGGTTTTTGGAGACCAGGTCTTCCAACAATCTACTGGAATTCTCATGGATACCATTACGCCAGTTATTAGCGGATTTATTTTTTATATTCATAATACATTTTATAACCGGAAATTGTTTCAAAATTTTATTCGTGAAAAGAAGAAAACTCTTGCTGTGGTCTTCAGCTATACATTTAGATACATGTACATTGTATATCTACGACGTATCGTTAATTAACAATAGTTATTCCCATTCTTATGTCAATAGGATATATCCCAGTTAGCATGAAATAAAAGATTACACTGAATCTGACACATATATTTGATATTTTACTTGAAAAAAAAACCATTAATGGTAAAACAACCAAGCTCTTTGATAAACGTGACTATAACTTTTCAATCATCAATTCCATTACTTGTGCAGCAATATACCTTCATCACCTGCATACGGAGTTTACATGAATACTAGTATCTCTAAGTTGATTCGATACGCACGAGCATGCTCTATGTATGTATGTACAACTTCGAAAAGGAGGTAAATAATTGACATACAAGTTGAAGAAACAAGAATATCAGCATCCCCATTTAAAGTCATCATTTTATAAGTTCTATGGTCGATACAATGGCCTTGTCAACAAATACAATTCATCATTGATTCAAATGCTGACAAACGTTTATCATACTAATTGTTAAACCATTATTTACATGCTGAATCAACGATGGATATTCCCGTTATTTCTTGATCATGACAAGAAGCACAGCGGGTGTGACCAGTTGGCAGGGGATGCTCACTCCTCCATGACACCTCTGATGTTTTGGAGGTTAGTATTTGCTCTGGTCCTATTGAGTATTGTTTGTACCTCTTTGTTCTATTCCTTCAAATGTAAAAATTGACTGAGAGGAAAAAATTAGCTGTATATCACCAGAGCTTATATTTATTTACCTCTATATATCATACTGTATTGTGCGAATGTGTTTATGAAAAGTTTTATTTTAAAGAAGAGTATTCAGACGTTCCCCCTTAAAATTGTCTGCAATTTTTTTTCTTAAATTCATTGATCTATTTTTGTTTGAAAATGAACTGTCTTTTTGTGTATTATGTATGTAACTGTGTGTTATGAATAAGAATAATATTTATATTATACACACACTATATTATCACATGCACTACAAAAATGGATAAAATGCATGGTAAATGTATTTAGTTTGATTGCTCGGCACTTTTTTAATTCTTAGAAAGCAAAGAAAGCTTTTACATTAGTATATTTTTATGATTGAAGCACCCAATAGAATGGAATGTCATTTTAAAAATATTGTCATGGTCATTTTTTTGATTCCACGTTTATTGCTCGATTAAATTTATTTTCTAATGAATTTTTAGTCTTTATTCCAATCCGATTTTACTCCGATCCTCAGCCAGGAAGGATAACTTTTTAATTTATATTTCAATTCAAAAAGTCTCAAAATGAAGCTTGAAAATTAAGTCTTTTCATTTTATACCTCTCAATGTGCTTCAAAGTTCTTTGAAGTTCTCAGAAAGTTTTTATAATACAATGTAAGTCGATTTTTTTACCCTATAAATGTATTTTGAAATTACATATTTATATAATTATAGAAATTAATCAAATCATTTTTTTTATTTAGTCATAGATACCAATGTTTGTTAACATGATACATGATATGAAATTGGAATTGATTTATGATGTTTTTCAATCATAGGAAAATCTTTATACACTATGCTTTTTAAAATGATCAAATTAGATTAAAAGAAATTAAAGTACTTTGCATGTATAAAAATTGTGAATTTTTTTTCAAAATCTTGGATACCTATGATTTTTATTTCTAAAATGTGTTTTCAAATTTGAATTTGACAATGTCTAGTAAATGTTTTTTTTTGCATTTTTGGAAAATTTATTTGAGATTTACCAATTTTCAGAGAAGTCTGAAGAATGATTGAGGGTAAAACATGTTATTTTGAGAATTCAGAAACATTCTTGTGAGCATTTTCAATTACATTTAGTCAATGCCTGATTTTCAGAACCAGAGGATCGGAGAACCTTAATATTGTTTTTTTTTTCACAAAACGATTTCAGAACTTATGGTAACCCGTTGGAAAAAAAATTCAAATTGGTCGGATGATTTTATGTTCATTCGATGAAAATATAAATTGTCAGATCAGGTTCTTGTGTACGGTAGAAACTTTAGTGAATGTAAAATGATGAAGTTACTTAGTATAAATAAAGAATACCAAGTATATCTTCTACATAATAAATGCATTATAGACTGTACATGTGAAAGCAGAACAAGTCTAGTCTTGGAACCTAACAAATTGGCACCAAGTGAGCTCCGTAGAATATTACTGCCCAACAACAGTTGTGCCAAAGAACAACATGGAGCAACCACCACCTCCCCCTCAATATTCAAATCCCGGGCAGGGACAACCCCCACCCCCACCACGTAAGTAATTTTTGTTGTTAAATAAATGTCCCAGTCATAAAGAGATTTTTAAATAAAGTATTCTGCATATTATAATTTGCCCTGGCAAAACGAAGAACGTTTACGTAGAAACTGGTATATTTGTTGCCATGATATTTTGGTCATTTTTTTATATCATATGATCTCAATATTTCTAAAGATGTCTCTGCATTTAGAATTAATAGAATAAATAGTAATATATATTTGAAATGAACTTTATGAACTGAAAGTCTATAAGAACTAGCCATTGCAAAATTTTAAAACTCGATCCATATTTGTTAAACCTCTTAGAGTGACCCTCGCTTATCTAGATTTAAATCTTTTGTTAGGTGGTTCTTATGTAAATAATTGTAGGTATTAAATTGACCCATATTTTTTCTATAGCCCTTTTCAAAAAAAAATTATCATTTCATCTCCCTTCTTTTTTAATTTTATTTCCGATCTTTATTTTGGCTTTTTTTCATATTGCTTTGTGTTTATTTGTAATTTTAATCTTCAAGCTTATACATGTATTTGTCTTTTAGATATTTGTTTGTTTGTTTTTTTTTTTTTATGTTTATAATACTAGAAATATTCGTTTTGTAAATTTTGTATTAACTGCACACCCAGTGTGTAAATTATATATATATATATATATATATATATATATATATATATATATATATATATATATATATATATATATATATATATATATATATATATCAACTGAGATATATATATGTATGTGTGTGTGTGTGTGTGTGTGTGTGTGTGTATGTATGTACGTGTGTGTGTGTGTGTGTGTGTGTGTGTAGTTATACAGCATGAAAAATAGTTTATACACAAATGATGAAAAAATATCACATTACACTGTATTTACTATATAAATTTCGAATTTCATATGGATATAACGAAGTAATTTATTGGCCCCTCAAAAATTAATAATTCAATTTTACTTTTTTTTTACATTTCTCAAAAAATAATTTTTATTTCTAAAATATTTATTTATTTCTTAAAATATTCATTAATTATAAGGGGGTCTTTCTATGCTAAACAAAACCTTTGTAACTTAATAAATATACCTTCAAGTTGTTTCAGATATACTAGTAAGTGTTTGAATTATACATTTTTTATCATTTCACTCAACAGCGGGTGGATCTACGATGGTGTACACACATCAGCCAACATTTTTTAATCCCATTATGTTCCGGGAATTTCCCGTTGCTACGACGTGTACATATTGTCGAGCATCCATTACTACGTCTACTAGATACGAAACCGGAACCTTCACATGGGTGGCCTGCGGAGTCATCGCTTTTATTGGGTAAACGTGACAACGTGATACATGTATATTTCATAATATTTTCAGAAAAACAAATATAATGAGATAATCAATATTATAAATACAAGTGAATGAGTGTCTAAGTGTCCCTTCACAGTCTTCTCCTTTTGTGTGAATTAAAGTTTAAGAGAGCCGTAGACAGTGAAAGTTAACGCACTGAGATATTAGAAACATTCTACATGTATGTATAGATAATTATAATTGTTTAATACAAAACAAACTAAAGGCAATTTTCGCATCCAGGCCTGGGAGACCTAAAACTTAGACAAGATCACTTGTGATCTCAGTCTCAATTTGTCCAAAGGAGTATATAGTGGAAAAGTGTGACTGAAGTCAAAAGTGAACCCGTCTACGTTTTATGGCCCCCAGGCCTGGATGCTCACTGATGAAGCTCTGTCTGTTTGATTTATTTCACAGATGTTGGTTGGGATGTTGTCTAATCCCCTTCTGCATTGATGGCTGCAAAGACGTCGTCCATAGTTGTCCAAATTGCCATCAAACCCTTGGAAAATACAGCAAGATGTAGGAAACTGAAAGTTCAGTTTTTAAAAATACTGAAATGAGTACGAGATCACAATTAAAAAATCAAAGCTTTAATTTGATGTGTAAAACAGCCTCCCACCTGTTTGTTTTGTCTTTCAAACATTTCAAAAACACTATATATGACTGCTGTACTAAGTTCTTAAATTTCCTTTTGTTTTATTATGATTGTTCATGCCTTTCTGTTTTTATGACGAAGTGTGTTCTGTTTTCAAGATATTCTAATCATTATTTATTTTTTATTAAATATTTATAAAATTAACATGACAAAGAGAATTGAATTGTTATTTTGTTTTGACGAAAATCATATAAAAGAAGAAAAATATGTGCTATCTGACGATTCAATTTGTTTATCATATTGAAGCTTGGAAACGGTGGCTGTTTAAAGTTATATGAATTAATTTCAAATGCATTTGAGATCAGAAATGAAACTTTCGGAAAATATTTTCCTTGCCCTCTCCCAGTCTCCCACCCAAGTCGGGTGAGGGCCGTATTTATGTAGAAATATCTTTTTATATCTCCTAGATGAATCGATACGTAAAAGCAAGCTCCACATATGAACAATTTCTGAAACGAGGAAAGTATAGACAATCAAGTTGATGAAATAACCATATTTAATTTGACTGCATGTATACATCACAGCTTCACAGGCCAGATATATCCAAAATATCTGTATAGTCAATAACTGCTTATTAAAAATTATTATTGATATACAGACCAACTTGGGGTCTTCTAATTCATCATAGCGGTCAACATCATATTCTTCATCAAATTTACTGCAATCAATTTGGATTTCTGTTGGATCAATTTCAAAGCTGCTATCTGCTATTCTTAAAGGTACTTGGACACAGATTTGAAGTTAATTTTTTCTCTATAATATTGCGTCTTACATATTTTAATAGCATTTCACACAAAAAATAATTAAAAATCTTATTTCATTTAAAAGTTATTAAAACTTCAAATTTTTTGGCTGGTTTGATTTACACATCCTTGCACTTTCACAAATTTTAATTTACCCTTAATACTTAGGAAAAGTGGCAATCTTGTTGTGTATGAATGAAAAATATTAATACTATAATCCAGAAAATTCAGAGTAGACATGTTCGAAAGCAAAACAAACACACAATATATTCTCAGTCCGTGCAGTTGTGGTGAGCAGACTTTGACGATTGAACGCACCCGGTGAATCGTAAACATCAACAATAACAGAGCTCGTGCCCTGTTTACAAAAACTGTGTACATAATACGAGTGTGATCGATTTGCACACAACACTTAGCTCGGAATGACGATACTTGTGAAGGAGTTTTGCTTTCTAACATTTCTACTCTGAATAAAATCATTTTTCTGGATTAAAGTTTTAATATTTCTCATTAATACACAACAAGATTGCCACTTTTCCGAAAGAAGAAAGTTAAAATTTGTGAAAGTGCAAGGATGTGTCAATCGAACCAGCCAAAAAATTTGAAGTATTAATAACTTTTAAATGAAATAAGACTTTTAATTAATTTTTGTGTGAAATGCTGTTAAAATATATAATTCGTGTTATTATGCAGAAAATATTAACTTCAAATCTGTGTCCAAGTACCTTTAACGAGTTTTACAGCAGCTTTAATGAAGCTTTTTTTTCACCCTATTTTTTTTTCATGCAGTGTCTCGAGTAGCACTTGTTTTCCAGCTTCTCATAATGAAACTATGTGATGAAAAGTGGTCACACAAACTTTCATCAATTCATTAAAGATTCAATCATGAGAGAAAATCAAGCTTAATGTCATATAATTCCTATGTTGTATGTCATACAGCTCAGGACATTATTTATTGAACAGCCCTCGTAAATGGAGATAACGAACATAATTCAAACTCAAAAGACCAATAAACAATACAAAATAGGAGCAGAGCAAACACGGACCTCCGAAACATCAGAGGTGGGTCCAGGTGCCATGGAGGAGTGAAAATCCCTTGCCGACCGTTGACACCCGCTGTTTGCTCCTTGTCATGATCGGGAAATAACGGAAAGTCCGTTGTCGGTTCAGCGTGTAAATAATGGACTAACAATGAGTGTGAAAAAAGTCAGTCAGCATTTGACTCAATGAAAAATTGTTTTTGCTGACAATGGCATTGTATCGACCAAAGAACGTATGAAATGATGACTTTAAACGAGACTGCCGATGTTCTTGTTTCATCAACAGTTTCTCAATAATTTACTTCGTTTTAGAAATTATACATACGTAGAGCATGATCTTGCGTATCGAATCATCTGAGAGATATAAACTCCGTATTCAGGTGATGAAGGTATATTGCTGCATAAGTAAGGAAAGTTGACGATTGAAAAGTTAAAGTCATTACGTTTATCATAGAGCTTGGTTATTAGAATAACATTTAATTCTTTTTCAAGAAAAATATTCAAATATGAAACAGATGTGTCAGACTTTGTGGTATCTTTTATCTCCAGCTCACCGGGACATACCGTATCGACATAAGAATTGAATGAAACATTGTTAATTGGCAATTAATACGTTGTCTATATATCTAAATGTCCAGCTGAAGACCACAGCAAGTGTTGTCTTCTTTAAAATTTCACGTATAAGACTTTGGACAAATTCTGCTTCAAGTGAATACAAAAATAGGTCTGCTAATAATAATAAAAACACATAGATATTGTCAAACAGAAACTCAAGCATCTTTTTAATGTCAACTTCAGAGTACTTGTGTATACAATCAGAATGATTATTAAACAAAATAGTTTTGCAAAAGACCAATGACAAAGTAAGTAAATTAACGAGTTCCATTTTATTGAAAAAGCAGTTGTCAATGATATCCTAGACTTTAATTTATCGTGGGGAATTACAGTGTATGAAATTGATAAGTTTTTAAGCTTTTGATTTTGGTAATATCTTGTGATTTCAAAATTTCCCAAAGTTCCTTGGAATTTTTAGGTATCCACATCTAATTTACACCACGTCTCAAATATTTTGTTGCACAGTACTCTTGAAGTTTCTCCTTCACTACTGTTAAAAACTTAGTGAAAAGTAAAGAAAGAGGCTTGGTTGAACATTTACTGGAACCCGCTATGTATCTTTGTTGTAAGGATTTATAGGAAGTTTCGGAATTCTTCATAGATATGGTAATTCAAATTCATTTTTGTTGTTTGTGATATTAAAAATATTCAAAACTGACATATGATTTTGAAGAATTTCTTCCATAGAAAGGGAACTATGAGTTCAAGTTAGAAATGAATAAAGTTCTTCAAAAATACAATTTATATAATGAGCTTTGAAATCGAAGACAATGTTGTTACCTGCCTTGTCAGCATGGACCAGTACGTACTAATCATGCATTTATCTAGGTCTCTTTTCACTTCTGAATTATTGAATACAGAGGGATAGATGGTTTTTATATTGCCCCTCAATCTTTTAATACGCGATTGTAACATAGATCTGAAACATTTTTCATGTTTATAGTTTAAATTTGACTCTAACTTTAGTTCAGTAGCCCAGTCACAAGTTGATGTGACCCTTGAAAAATTCAAGATGGCGGTCGATGTTTACCTTGTATATTATTAGATATCGGGTTAATTATTTTTCGATATAAGAAAAATAAGAAACGTCAAGTGCATGTGATCTGAACAGCAGACATACGTTCTCTCCATATGTCAAAGCACAATTACAGGTACTTTTAAACATTGATAAAATGTAATGTATGAAGTAGATTATCAATTGATAAATATTTAGAGAGAGAGAGAGAGAGAGAGAGAGAGATAAACAAGTTTTATAGAATTAACAAATGATTGATTGATTGTATGTTGTTTAAGAATTGTCTCGAGATTTTTTCACTCATATGGAGACGCCAGGTGCCACTTCCCGGTGGAGAATTTTGTCCTCAATCTGATTAAAATCAGATCCTTTGATCCGCTCACATAGATCGCTACACAAGGATCTGAGGAAACCCCATTCAGGGTCATCTCCTGGTTACCTCTCTGATAAAAATACTAGTATTCATTAAAATGTTGACCAATTAGAGAGATCGTATTAAAATGACGTTAGGGAAATTGAATGAAGAAGTAAAAGTAGCTGTGGAGAAGATATTATCGTTTCGTACTTTTTAGTACTTTTTATATATCTTTACAAAAAAGACTCTGACTAGTCGTTCTCTTGGCAGGCTACGGAAACTAGGTCACGATTTTCCGTTCGTGTTTCATCGGGGCTTTTATACTTCTGTAACTGATTTCCGAGATACTTCTAAATTCTTGGAAGTATAATTGAAAGGTCACCAGGAGATGACCCTGAATGGAGTTTCTTCATATCCTTGTGTAGCGATCTATTTGAGCGGATTAAAGGATCTGATTTTAATCAGATTGATTTTTTCCTATACTCGGCACTTAGGGCCATTGAGTAGTGAGGGATCTTTTTCGTACCAGCACCTACTGCGACACGGGACTTCGGTTTATACGGTCTCATCTGAAGAACCGGCTCCACATTTCACAGAGGGATTCGAACCCGCGATGTAAGGATCTATTCCTTACTTTGCAACGCTATAACCACTGCGCCATGCGGGCGAATCAACAAATGAAGAGATCAAGAAAGAAAACATGTTCAATCAGTTGTTGTTGACTCAGAATGGTAAGAATTAATTCCTTAAAAAAAATAGCTTGCCTACAATTATATATATATATATATATAAAAATCCATTATGGTTTTATATATATTTGTCTTGTATGGTCAAAGACAAATATATAAAACCATAACGCTACAGATCTGCAGCTAGTACTGTACTTATCCAAAATGAATCGCTAATTCAAAATTCATATCACCAATTTTTTTTTTTAAATAAGGTCAAATATGAAAGTCAAGGTCACGGAGTGAATTTAGAAAAGTCTTGTCAGATGTAATGCACATGACAAGTATGAGATTTCTTTCTGTTAAAAAAAATCACCAATGTAAAAAAAGAATTAAACGTAGATCAGGCTTCAAGGTCATCGGTTCAAAAGTCAGTACATTTGAAAGGTCTTGTCACAGGTTATGTACATGTGAAATATGAAATCCCTTTCTTTTCTCATTCAAAAGTAATTAACAAGGTTTATAGTTCAGTCTGACAGCATGACAGATGCAATCCTAATTTATGTATTTCAAATTACAACGGTCTTCCGTAGTGTGTACTGTTGTACACGGTCACATGGAAGAATTAAGAAACTTTAATACTATGTTAAATTATTGACATTGTAAAGGACTAGGTAATGCCACATTGAACAGCAATATGGGTGACAGTGCAGACCGGGTCAAGAGTCCCAGAAATGAAATCCAATCATCAACAAATGCAGGTAACATAAGTGTGTTTACCTGTTTACGGGATTGTGTACAGCCGGTGCAGTGCAATCCTTATGTTAATTTTGTTACGAAGATAGCATTAAATAGGTTCATTGAGTGTGGTACTAATAAATTTCGAAATTCGGATAATTTATTGGCCTTAATCAATAATAATATTAATTTTAAAAGATAAATAAATAAAAATTAAACCAAACGGAACAAAGTCCGAAAAATCCTAAGTAGCTTAAAACTCTAGGCAAGGATTTTTCTTTGTTTTAATATAAAGAGTTTGCATATACATCTGCATGGTAATAATTGTGCTATGACCGTTTGTTTCTGTAAAACATTAGGTCGACTTAGCTTTGATCAAAGGGTCAGAAAACTTCTTACGATAACCGGTTTGGGACAAAACTTGCACATTACGCAAGCGGTATTAGTGTAATGTGGATAGACGTCCATCTTTGTCTTCGTTTTTAAATAAGGAAATATTATGATTAATCTCATACAGTCTCATTATGAAATAAAGGATGCACTATTAAGCTGCCCTATGAATTGAGATATACAATGAAGAGTAATCTCTTGACCCGGATATAATTTGTATAGTATATTTACCTACCATCTTTCTCCATTATCTTTTTGTTTCCTACACAGAAAGAATTCATTGGGTTGGGGATGAAGGGTTTGCATGAACACAAAAAATTGTGTACGAACACATGTTGTTAAAAGGTTTAAAGCTACGTTTAGCTAATCCCAGCAGTGTCTGATAGGATCGAGTATTTTGATCTCTTTTGTCTGCAGTAGACTTTATTCTAAGTTCGTCATCTTTGAAGTTTCTCTCCGGTGATTGAATTGATTAAATTCGACAAAACATGTATTCAATGTATTATTTATTATTATTTTATTTATTTTTTTCCCTACATTTTCTACTGTTTTTTTTTTTCTTCATTTGAATTCCGTTTTCCTCACAGGGCCTGCAAATCGATCAGGAGGTCCAAGTGCTGTAGCCACCTTTGCCTCAGCGGGCGCTTTTTCCATTCTAAGTATGACCGCTACTGCGCCTTTGGACCGGGTCAAGCTACTACTGCAGTGTCAACATGAACTGAGGAGAACAGGTCGTCTGTCCACGCCGTATAGAGGCGGTATGGAATGTGCCTTACGGATATACCGAACTGAAGGCTTCATTTCACTTTTCAGAGGGAATCTTATCGCATGTATCAAGTCCTTTCCCTCACAAGCGATGAATTTTGCAATGAAAGAAGCAGTAAGGAAAATGATTAGAGTTTCAAAAGAGGAACATGCTTATATCAAATTAGCTAAAAATCTCTGTGCTGGATTTTTCGGAGGGTTTACTACACTTTTTGCGTTGTATTCTCTGGACTATTGTAGAACCAGGCTGGCGGCCGATGTATTACAAACAGGAACTGATGGGACGAAGAAGCGGCAATTTTCGGGTATCATTGATGTGTACAGACAGACGATTCGTTCTGACGGAGTTGCGGGACTTTACCGCGGGTTCATGGTATCTTGTCTGGGTATAATTGTCTACAGGGGCGCTTACTTCGGCTTCTACGACACTCTTTCTCCGATGCTCGTGAATGCCGGTCAGTTCAAAATATTTTACGCTTTCGGACTGGGGTATGGAGTTACGGTACTTGCTGGTCTGGTATCTTATCCACTGGATACGATCCGGAGGCGGATGATGATGAGAAGTTGTGAGGAGGTCAAGTACAAGGGTTGGATTGATTGCGCCCGTTATGCTATCAAAAATGATGGCTTCTTAAGTTTATACAGAGGGGTGTTTGTGACCATTGTTAAAGGCTTTCTTGGTGTACCGTTTTTAATCGGTTGGGATCTCCTCAAGAAGAATCGATGAAACTAATAAATTTAATAACTTTTGTGAAGTGTGTATTAGAAGACAAAATATTTTTAGGATTTATGAAATTAAATAGAATATATTTCCATTAATATTCTGCTTTTTTGTTATTCAAATGAAAGATATTTAGATGGAAGAGAAGGATTCATGAATTATTTCCAAAAATACCAGTGCTAGAGTACAAGTACAATAACCATTCTTTCTCAATCCAGAGTTGTCGTTCCCACTACGCTGCAAATACACTGATGTCAATGTTTGTTATGTAAGATTCTTGGAAATATTGTAACTGATGAAAAAATGTATTACATCTGTAATTCTATTTCCTGAATTCAACTGCTTAACGTGTAGCAGGATTATTTTCTCTTTTACAATTTAAAGGATGTAATAAAAACTTTAATATAGATCTATTGATTAAGAAAGATAGGCAGGATAGATTTAAAAGAAATTATAAATTATTATCTTTATGAATTAGTACAAAAAATTACGATTTTAAATTTCGAATTTTCATAACTGCAAAGATGTGCAAGAATCTTGAACAAAATACGTTGACGGGTGTTGAAACAGAATGCCTAGTGGCAGAAACACTGGATAGAGAACGGTAACCGTTGGTTAGCTGTTATATCGCAAATTATTAATCAAAGTACTGAAAGTGCTGATACGAGTTGATGGTTGTTCAACCTTATAAATTGAACACTGCTTTATTGATAAAGAAATGAAATTTCCATTAAATAGCAGAAATTTAGATTTCCATTTGATTTCTGATGGCAATTTCATGAGATAACGCACTGTATTAAATCCCATAAACAAATAATGTCATGAAATAATAAGGAAAGCATGGTTCTTTTTACATTATACATTTATTGAGTATTAGTGTCCTATTTTAACAAATGAAATGACACGCTTTTTCATAACTATCATGGTACAACAGTATCTGAATGTCCTTAATGTGGATACAGCAAATGTATCCCTTTAAAAAATACTTTTCATAATCAATTTGGCAATTACTACTATTATGCTTGTCATATAAGATTTTTTAACATTGCAGTCTTCCAGTTTGAATGTGTAAAAGCACAATATACAGTAAAAATACAAGAAAATGAATTTTTTTAGAAAGAGAAAAATGCAGTCACAATTTTGTTCATAATTTTCTCACAAGTGTCACAAGCATTAAGAATGCAAAATGTGTAGGGGAGGTTACATTTCTCCGGAATGAGAAATTAACCAACAAACCCCCAGAAGCAGTGAAAAAGGTTTCGTAAACAAATCCTTCCAGGTACCTTTATGCTCTAACCATTGTTGTTTATACCTCTAGAAAAATAATTAATTTTAAATTCTAATTAAAACAACATATAAATAACAAGTAAAATGGAAGATTTGAAGGGTATTTTATTTATTATGACATCTTAAATGTAAATCATCATCTTTCCAAAGCAATAAATTAAGATCACTTGAATTCCAATTTTCTGTAGGAATTCAAAACTTCTTTATACAAAATGCTTACAAGACTGTATTAGCAACACGTACACTGTCTACCTCTACTATCTTCTGAGAAATTGTTTGATGCTTGATGCACATCTGCTGCAATGCAAGAAATAGCTGAGGACTTTGCTTTGACAATTTTTTTTAACCTGGTATTTTCAAGAAAATTTTGTCTTTTTTTCTTTTTTGAGCCCTTGACATCATCAACATAATAATCTCTAAGATTATCAAAATCTCGATCTGATCTTTGTTTCTTTTTTTACATCTCAAATTGTTAATTCCACAGTATTATGACACAGGATGTCTTTGTACTCGCATGTCATCCAGAACATGTGTATTTTTTTTCACATTCCCATTTATGAATATTTTTTTTTATTTTATAATGAAAATCAATAAATAAGACACTTTCACCTGTTATGTCACATTTAAAAAGTTGTCTATATTTTTCTGAAGCGATAACAGCAAACATAAATCAATTAAAATAACTCATTCCAGATTTATTATAAACAGGTGCGTGTGGTGGATTTTGATCCGCTCCTGGCTAAAATAAAAATGGCGTCGTTCCAACAGATGCTTCGTTCTCGTCGTATTTTTTGTGTAATACAACAAGTAGAAATATCATCTTGGATAATTTCGTCTAGTATCATTGCATGCAAAAAAAAAAAGAAAAAATATTCATTCGATTTTCACTAAAACATGACCAATTCTTTCAGGAAGGTGGAAATCTAGTCGGAAATTCTATGGCATGTCCTGTATTATTGCTATTTTGTGTGTTTTCAAAGACTTGAAATAATATTTCTATTGAGGCAGTTGCCTCATTACCACAATGGAAGCTACGCCCCTAAATTAAACAAACAGAAAAACTTGTATAAAACCAGGCCCCTAGAGCCGCGAAAACAAGGTGGCGCAAATGTTTACTCGGTCAGTACCATACGAAGTCCTATCGATAAACTACTGGCTAAGCTTATATTTCAGAGCAACACGTGCAACTATACTTAAGTATACATGTATTTACCTTTACGGACCTTCTAAAAAGATCCTAGTGAGCCTCCACAGTCCCGTCAATTTCTTTTGAAGTCACTCTTGTGCTGCCGATTTTGCGTGTTTTTGTTTACAAAACAAAGTAGCGTGGTGCGTATGAATATGAAAAAGTAGTTCGACCACTATGTTAGGCCTAAATTTGCATAAAATCCAAAACACTTATAGAACAGAAAAAATTAACCAATATTTTATGCAATTAGTTTGAAAAAAATCAAAAATCGACAAGGCATATATGCACATATGAGAAGAGACGAAATACACTTTCATTTTTCGGGGGGTTTAAAATGCACTATCTTTTTTGTCGGACCGACACAATAAGGCATATTAATGAAAATGTTATTGTGTATATTTAAAATAAATTTCCTTTAAAAAAAGAAACGTTGACATGTGTTCAGTATATATGTTCGCTTTTATTTATGTTGAATTTCTCAAGATACGGTACACTTTATCGTAGAAGGAACTGAATTAATGAGGTGTGTACTTTGGTTGAAAATTAGGTCAACATTTGTAAGAACATAACCTGAGTTGATGTCCATCAACTCGTAAAAATGATAAAAATTGTTTCGTTTGCTTTTTACTTTCACAAGTATATGATAATTGTATGATAATTTTCAATTTCCAGTAAAGTAACGCTATTTTTGCAATTCATTGAATAAGTAATATACATCAACCAAACTTCTGTAGCGCGCTGTTTTACTCATATCGTAACAAACATCGTTATAGTTCCTTTTGTCCTGTAAACATTGAAAATAAAAGAGAGAGGTCAATGGTCACAACGCTCACAAGAATCACAAAAATTACCAGTAAATGTATAATTTCTAATTTTTGTTTTTACCAAAAACAAAACACAGTGTTCATTCTGCTCATTTGCATATCGGACATTTTGGAACTTTAATGACGGCCGATTTCATTAAGATTTATATAGAGAAAATACAAAAAAAATCACAATTTTTTTTTATACCCTAGCTATTTTCGGATAAAGTTCTTCCGCTGATGGTTAGATTCTTTTAAATATTTATACCCCCCGCTTGAAAAGTGGGAGGGTATATAGTAGTCGGTATGTCCGTCCGTCTGTTACGCTTTGGGTTACTCATCTCTTATCCGCAACTCCTCTTATACCACTGAGTGAAATTGAATGAAACTTTAACAGAATCTTTATTACATATTGCCATTGTGCACCTCCTATATTATGTTTTGATCCGACGCATATTTTGGGTTTTCCGGCCACAGCAAAACATGGACTTCTTCCATTACAATCATAGGAGAGGCGGGGGGTATCATTTAGTGAGCTCAATGCTCACAGTACCTCTAGTTTCTACCGGAAATGACAAGATTGTAAATACCAAAGTGAAAGTTGCGACCGCCAGTAGTATAGTGCGAGACATTATACCGTATAAGTAGATATTATTAGCGATGATTTAATTTTGGCATTATAAGCGAGGGTGCCGAAATCGCTAAAACTTAATATTGCTTAAAATTAATTGCGTTTTATTTGTAATAGCTTCTTTAATGTACATTTTAAAATCACTAAAATAACATCTCGCTAAAAATAAATTGCCAGTTTTTAAGGAAAAATCGCTAAATTTGCGTCTCGATAAAATTTCCACTTACCCGGTATACGGTAGCCCCAGATTGAGGTTCAGTCGGATTGAGGTTCAGGCCGTAAATCAGTGTAGACCTGGAAAGTAATTAGGGAGGAACGTAACAGGAAGTCAATAAGTAGTCTAAATGCGAGGATTGGAATGATGAATAAAGTTCTTCGTTATTAATTTGATTTCATTATACCCCCCGCTTGAAAAGTGGGTGGGTATATAGTAATCGGTATGTCCACGTTGTTTGAAGTCTGTAACGATCGAGATTTTGTCTTAGACAGTACGGCATTTAACTCTGAATCCCATGGGAGAATGGTGGGATTTTCAATCCCACCAACTATCCCATCATTCTCCCATGGGAGAAAAAATGTCCAATGGGATATTTTCTCCTAGAGGATTTTTTTCTCCCACAAATTTGTTCAAATGGGATAAATCCCACGGATATTGACAATCAAACAATTTTCCCCATAAACTGTGAAACATGAAATGTATTCCATACAGTATGACAATGACAAATTTCTCATCAAAATATATATAGAAAATATACCAGCTATAACAATGTCTGGAGAAAATAATTCAATTGTCAATATCCGTGGGATTTATACCATTTGAAAAAAATTCATGGGAGAAAAAATCCTCTAGGAGAAAGTATCCCATCTGACATTTTTTCTCCCATTCTTCTCTCTCTCAGGTTTTGGTATGTCTGTCAATTTCTCGGGTGCTGATGTAACATTCTCTTTGTCAAGCTCCGATTTGGAACCACGTGTCTCCTGGAGTGCCATGAGACGGTTGTACTTCTCGTAAGTTACCAACACAGATTTCTGCATTACGTCCACCATTTTTTCAGGAAAGGTTTTACAACTTTTAACAAGGTTGTGATGCCGAGCTGGTTTCTTTTAAAGTAACCTCCTTTTATTTTTTAGCCGTCCTCTTATCACCTAATACGAGGAGAACCGATTTGTATTTTTAAGAGCTTTTTTTCTTTTCTCGATTCAGTAAAATAACACTATGGATGACGTTTGCGGTTATTTCTCCCAACACGTTTAATTGATCTTTGGTGATGAAACTCAACACCAATTTTCTTCGTGCGGGATTTAACTGAAGCAAAAATTCTATAAAAAAAAAAGTCTCTTTTGTCTGACAGCAGAAGTCATTATTAATATCTTACACCAAAGGTCTACATTTGTTCTTATAAACATGTGTATCCTGTAGGGTCCTCTCATAGAAATACATTTGTTCCGAGTCAAAATTTATCGTGGCCTCGAGGTGACGTGTCCACCACCAGGTAACCGAAGGGAGGCTTAGTTGCATCTTTGTAAGCCTCCACCAAGAGATTTGAACATCCCGGATACATGTATAACTGTCGAGTGTCGACTCAACATTGAAATTTGCGATGTACGGTATCTCTGGCATTTTTCATCAATATCAAATAGTAGGTATTTAAAGCTATAGTTCTTGACGTAAATATAGTTAATAAGAAGGAGCTTAGATCACTTATTTTAAAAGGTCCTAAATATAGGAAACCACGATCCTTCAACTGGCTTCGGAATTTCATAAATATTATGGATTCTGTTGAAAATTATTAACGTTGAGCCAGATATGAAAAAGAAGACGTTGACACCTTGTCAGAATGGATTAAATGTATGAGATCCATGTTAAGTCGCGTTTTAAAAGATTGAGGGGCAATATGAAAACCATCTATCCTTCTGTGTTCAATAATCCAGAAGTGAAAAAAGAATTAGATAGATTACATAATCAGTACTTACTGGTCCCTGCCGACAAAGCAGGTAACAACATTGTCTTCGTTGGTAAGGCTCATTATATAAATTGTATTTTAGAAGAATTTGGATTTCATTCTACAAGTGGTAATCATACTTACACTCATACTTCCCTTTCTTAGAAAGAAATTCTTCAAAATCATATGTCAGTTTTAAATATTTTTAATATTCCACAGAGCCAAAATGGATTTGAACTACCCTATATATATGAATATACGTTTGTTAAAGCCACTCTTAATTCATAATTTTAAGATTGTAAATATTTCCCTCCACCATGTATATCTTTCATGTTTAAAATTGGTTGCTCAAATCTAGGTAAATTCACAACCTTGTCCTACAAGATGGCGGCAAAAGGGAATAACTCCTAGGCAAAATATATCATAGGAAAAGGTCTATATACAAGGTTACACATATGCGCCATCTTGAATTTTTCTAGGTCGGTCACATCAACTTATATTTTCGTCTGAAACTCCATGAAATAAATTCCCATATTCGTTCTATGGTCAGTCTTTCGGGGTCTCAGCTTAAAAACTGTGCAACCGGAAGGGCGCATCACACTTGCAAATATTAAAATTCTCTCGTCAAATTCGATAGTCTGCTTCAACAATCCGAAGAATTGCTTAAAGGAGGCAGAAAGAATATGGTTGCAGGGAATTTATTTCACGGAGTTTCAGATGATGTGACCAATCTAGAAAAATTCAAGATTGCTCCAATGTGTGCCTTGTTTTATTAGGTAGTTAGGTAGGGGGTATCTACGATATACTTTTTTATTAAAAGAGAAATAAGTAACGCCAGGTGCCTTTGTAAAGTTTTGTAAATTACAATATCAGAAGAGGAAACACAATAGTTGCATTAAACAGCTTACTCAGTAATTGATCTCTAGTCCCTATATGTAAAATAAGACAAGAGAGAATACTTGTGGCTTGTTCCCATTCACTCAAAAATAAATCTATAGCACTCCCGTTGCTCAGGATATTTCTGAATAGTTTTCCAATCTCTGTTGTGATTTACATGTATCACATTTTATAGTGATTCCAAGAATCTTTAAATCGTACCTCGTTTGTCTAAAGCAATTTGCAAACTCTACACAATCTGTGAATAGTTTCAAGTTTGATATAAAAACGTATTTCTTATTACCCTCATTTTTTTCTGAGAGGAAGATTATTTGAAAAGCTTTTAACGTTGAATATTTATATTGTAATATTTTTCTAATTAGACTAAATCAAACTGATGTTAATTTAAAGGTTTATTTATTTATTTATCTGTTTGTTTATTTTTTTTATGACAGTTTAATTTTTTTTTACCCCGTTTGTAGATCGGGTAGAAACTTTTTAATCCCTCGTTTTATACGTTAACCTGATAAAGAGGGTCAATTTATGATTAATAACATTTGTAATTTCGTTGTAACCCACGTTTACAATATTGCACGTATACAAACACGTATATAAACATATTGATATGCTGTTCTGCTATAAAATACTTGTGAATTATTTTTTGTGAAAGTTTCGGAGAATTATCTACTGAGTATTAGAGTTTAACACATTATCTCTGCATGCATATATGTGTTTGAAATACATACACTAGTATACATCATTTAATATTGCATTTGGAATTCCTTTAAATTTTACACATCGATTTTTATATTTGTAAGCATTGCATTCATGATTCATTTATAAATTCATCTCGTCGTCATGGTTAATTCAATTTTTATTGAAAATTCTAAATTGAATTCCCATCTTTCTTGACAAATATTATTCACACAACTACAAAGCATTTCTGTGAAGTGAATGAAATACCCTTTTGCTAGTCTATTTTGAAATATTTATTATTTCGAAATTTTAATGAAAGAAATGTTACGGTGTACCAAAAATGTCATTAGTTATAAATATATCTCTGGTATACAGAAATAACCCTTCCGTATTAATCCTAAAATTGGGTAATTAATCACTAAATAACCCATTTGTGAGCATTAACAATTACTTCTCTGTTGATATTTAGGCCCTGGGGATAGGACTATCTTAAAAGCTATAAGAGGTCCATAGAGTTGTGCAGTATTACATATATGTACACAACTTTTGAATTCAAAGCTTTTGTACACACATAGATTTTTTTGTAGAATAAAAGATCTAGAAAACTTGAATGGGAAGAACAATTAATCTGATATTCTATACAGAATCTTTCTTATGAAGGTCTTTTACTTTCCAATCATTGGCACTTCCTTTTTAAATTAACTTTTAATGATTCTACACACGTATGACACATGCGGAGTTTCGTATATTTCAAGTAGGAACTAAGTGAACCGATTCTTCAGTTATAATCAGCGATGGACAGTAAACAGCCACCCCCTCCGCCGCCTGCGTACGGTCAACCCTCGGGGTACAGCCAGCCCCCACCACCCCCGGGCTACCGTGAGTATATTTTTTTTTCGTTTTATATTTAAAATAGAAAATTGAAATAGTTGTTAAGTAAATTATATATCATACAGAATATTTTCTTTCCCTGTCAAATTATGAACAACATATCGGATACTTGGGAGATGAACTACAAGATTCAAATTTTAAATTAATGATAAGGAGATTCGCAGATATAAATGTACAGTTTGAATTTCTTTTAATTTCAAGCAAATATTTGGATTAAAAAAAATAATAATATTAATTCATTAAAAATATTTCCAATGTATTTAATGTTTGTTAGCAATTTTGAAAAATCTATTTGATATCGACCTGGTATTTTCTAAAAAAAAATTTTAATTTGTAGTGTAAAACTTGTTACTGAGCTGTTGGATATCGATTTTTATGTCCTACCTACCCACATTTAAGCCACCAATGTCAACAATGGCCTGGATTAGGTTATAGAATCGTTAAATGTGTAATATAGATTGGAGTTAAGCCATTTTTTTAAAACTGGACAAACCTGAATTGTTATGAATGCAATTTCTTGTACTTTGAAAACGTGTATTTCAAGCATGGCTTGTGAAGATTGATGAAACTTCGAAAACCATGTATTTAAAAAATCATATTATCAAATCTGAGACTAAAATACGAGGTTTTTTATTTCTTTTTTACTTAAATTCGATGTTAGCATTTCTCGTACTTTAGTCAGACCAATAGAGTAAAATGTTATTTAGTTTTAAGCGTAAAGTTTAATCAGTTTATTCAAAATTCAGTAAATAAATCCATTTTTAGAAAAATGCACTTCCTTCTTTTCCACAGAAAACACAGACATACCAACCACAACTTTCAGTTAATATCATTATTCATTAATATTCATAAGTGTGTATTTTACATATTCATTGGGGAATGCTTATTTCTCCACGGCACCTGATCCTACTTCATATTTTTGTACGACTGTGGTTGCTCCTCTCGATTAGTATTGTTCCTATTGACTTTTGGCTCGAATACTGTTCGTTTTCTTTATTAATGAAACAAAATATTTCTCTTTCCCTTAGTTTAAGAAAAATCCTCTCAATCCAAATAGCAACCTCATTATTACCAAATATTTAAGATAACAAAATTTTTTAAAAACTATTTTTTATCAGCGGGGAGCACGGTGGTGGTGACCCAGCCAGTCCACATGAACCCCTACATGTTCCGTGAGTTCGGGGTTCAGATGCAATGCCCCCACTGTCAGGCCACCATTACCACGTCAACCAGATACGAGGTCGGAACTCTCACATGGGTCGCCTGTTTCGTTATAGCTATAGTGGGGTAAGTTTCAGAATTTATTGAAAGAAAATATAAAATATATTTAGCTATTTTCTTTATTCTTAAACTGCCAAAGATAAAAAAAAAACCTGTGAAATTATACTCCATTTATTACTATATCATTGAACACCATCAATTCACATTAAATGCAGAATACATCAGTTTGCCATAAACCTTATCAGAGGGTTTGATGATTTTTAACGTACATAGTTTGAATTGGTGCAATGAAAAAAGACTATGTATATAAGTTTTCAAGACTGAGTCTAGTAACGTTGACCGGAATGCTCTGTAATGGTATGAGATATCGGCTTGGGTTGCTCAGTTGGTAGAAAACTTGACAAGTGATTCAGAGAACCAAAGTTCAATTCCTTGTCCAAAAATTTTCCCCTTTTACATAATTTGGTGTTGTTGACCACCCATGGACTGGCAGATAAAAGTTCTGCAAGGGTTAGAAAGAACGTGGGTTGTGCGTGTCTTAATTCGAGGGCAAAGTTTTTTTTTAAATGTTACAGTAATGGTTTTGGTTGTGAATATTGGTCTGGGTAGCTCAGTTGGTAGCACAACTGACAAATGCTACGGTTGTTCAGTGTTCGATTCTTGGTCCAGTCATACATTTTCTCCTCTCCTGTTGCAAAGCTAGCCTTCCAGGGGGTAGGTGGGATGTTGTATCATACGTGTACATATGAACTGAATGTTTTGGTTAAAAGGTTTTGGCAGGATTTTGTAATGTTTAAATATCCAGATATTTGGTAGCAAGCATATACATATAGTAATTTTTACTTTTCGTGTGTTGACCGGGATGTTGCAATGAACATGTTTTACTTTCCAGATGTTGATTGGGATCGTGTACATGTTTCACTTTACAAGTGTTGACAGGATTTTTGTAATGCACACGTTTTATTTTCCAGGTGTTGATTGATGTGTTGAAATATAGATAATTTACTTTTACAGGTGTTGGTTGGGATGCTGTTTTATTCCGTTCTGTATTGATGGTTGTAAAGACGTCATCCACTCCTGTCCAAACTGCAAACAAGACGTTGGACGATACAACAGAATGTAAACAAAACTCACGGAGAAATGACGAGGTTAAGGTCTGTCCTAACTTCAGAAACTTAGAAGACAAATCAAAGGATCTGATTATTTTCGTCGTAATTTGAGAATAACATATATTGTATTGTTTATTATTTGGTAAAATGCATGTGATAACATCATATTTTTGTGCAAGATTACTAGAATTTGATGTTGAACAAAGCAGACGGCTTTAACGACATCATACGATGAACTTTAAATTTACTGGGTGGAATTATAAACGAAGTAAAGAAATACTATAAATTTTATATTCACTTCCAAATTGTTGATTCAAACTTTACGATATGATATTATACAAACCTACTTTGAGAGCACTATTTCAAGGTAAATATAGGTTGTGCACTACTGAATTTTCCTATTACTTACATGATTAGAGCAGGTCTGGATGTAAATATGCTGTTATATCATTATTTTGATATATTTTAATTTGTGATATTTTTGCTTGAAAATTCAAATATATGTACTTTTGGAGAAAAACTGTTGAGAATAATGATTTACTGTGATTTATTCCCCGTGTTTTATCTTTGCAAATGTATTCTATATACACCTTTATGAGTACAGAACTCTTAAAAAATATATTATAATTATAATTTTTATTTTTATTTCTGTTCTGATTATCTGTGTTGTGTATTGTTGATATTCTGTATTATACCAGGGATGTGTTTTTTAAATAAAAAAGTGCTTTCACTCAGACTTCTCGGACATCATCATTCCCTCAGTGCTTTCATTCAGACTTCTCGGACATTATCATTTCCTCAGTGCTATCTCTCAGACTTCTCGGACACCATCATTCCCTCAGTGCTATCATTGAGACTTCTCGGTAACTCGGGCACCATCAATTCCTCTCTTATTTTCGGTCTATTGACTATACTTGACTGTACCTTTGTGTGTTTTCTCAGAAAGTATATGCATATGAGACTTACTTTTTGCACTATTCCAACAAAGGTTTTCAACAAAGTTTCTCTTTTTTTTTTCGTGAAAATATGAATCTTTGAAACAAATAAAAATAAAAATAAATGTTTCAATAAGCTTTCTGCAGTCTTCAGGGTTTATTCCAAATCAAAATACATGTACTAGAACAACATTTAAAGCAATTTTGCTTATTTCACTCTGCATTCCCGAAATAGAGTTCTACATAGGGAAGTTCCTGAAATGTTATAATTAACTTCTTTGAAGTTTCTTTGCCAGCTTTGCAATAATATATCTTGTTTTGATATATTGATTAAGCATTAGTTTTGCATGCAATCCATTGTGTTAAACATAATTGTAGCCCTATTATTCTAAAAGTTTAAATGCCGTGCGCGCGTTGAGCATTGAGTTGCATTTACTACATAACACAAGTAAACACTGCATTTTAAATAGCGGCGGGACATGTTTATCTGGACAGGCATTATAAAATTTTAGCAGGGCTAAAGATCTGAATGCTTATCATTGGATGATTTTGTGAACAAATTGTACTTAATTTAACTTCCTTGTTCAAATCTGCGTTGGTAAGGCAAACAAAAACCATTCATGTTTACAAGTGAGGTGTAAGATAATGGCTACCTCTGAAAATATCGTCGTTGAATCGAGCGAAGAGGTTCAACCGGTAATTGGAACATTTGGTCCAAAACCAGTGGTAGCTAAATGTCCTGAATGTGAGGAAACCGGTGAAACGGACATTTTCTATGAACCAGGACTCTTTACGTACGGATTATGCTTGCTGTGTCTTTTTATGGGGTAAGTACTGATTTGGAATACTCTTGTGTGATGTTTCCTTGAATCTTTATACATGACAGTAAAACTAGGGGAGGGGACAACACACTTGAATTACAAAATCCAATCTTCTTTGAATTACGGTAAAACTGCCAATTATCATTCGATTTACTTATTTTTGAAGTTCAGCTTGAACCAAGAAAGAAGCATTTCACTTGTATCTTGTAAGATAAGCCCTATTTTTCATTTCCTTCTCTACTGTCTATCTGAAAAAAAATCAATTTTTTTGATAAAAAATGAGTAAATTTCAAATATTTAATTTAAGGAGAAATAGCATGTTCTAACATATATTCTTAAGCATTGCAAACATTTCGACAAAGATATTGATTAATGCACATTATCTACACTAAACCATGAGTTGTTCATGTGATTTTGTCATTATATATTACCTACAAGTTGAAATTTTGGAGGGAAAATATAGGTCATTCAATTATTATACTTATATTCATGTAAAGTTCATGAAAATTATCAAAATTTCAGTACAGCACAATTCTGTTATACGTGTATAACTTTTTATCTGATTGAAGATTCTGGCTAGGGTGTTTCCTCTTCCCCTTCTGTATATCAAGTGCCAAAGACTGTGTACACAAGTGTTCCAGTTGTGGAACAGAGCTAGGAAGGTTCCGAAGATATGAGAATGAAATAAAGGAACCATACACGTGAGTGGAGAGGAGGAATGGCCAGAGACTCAGAGATCAAAGATTAGCAAGAAAGGCTAATATTGCATTGTCAACTGAGTTAAAGAGCTTTGACACACAAGACAATAGCTCTCAATTTTGTCAGATCAGGGAATTTAAGTACAGTCATGTATTATGTTATGTGTGCCAAATTGTTCCTGTTGCCACAGTCTTTCATATATGAGTACATGTACATTTATAAACAGTATAAAGCTTTTATGAAGTGTATATCGAGAGCTGCATAAAATTAAACTAATAAAACTCTTGTGTATGTATAAAATTATGATCAGTGTATGTACTTTTTTATTGATTACCGCTAATGGATCTACATACATGTATGATTTATTGCAAGATATTAGAATTCCCTCCTAGTAAACATCCATGTTTCAAATGCTTGCAGAAAGAATTGACATATAAGCTGCATGAAACTTGTGTAATTAAGAAAGAACAAAAATTTAAAAATGTACATTGTATACTATGTAAATTATGCAAAATAAATGTTGATTGTTGTTTATTTCTTACAACACGAAAACTTGCGACTTTTCAACTTTAAATGTAACCATTCCCCTCAACATATTAAAGTTCATATTTATTTATATCTGATTTTTCAATAAAAGTGGAAATCGTAAATTTATTGACATTGGCATTGATCATTTGCAATTTATTTCTTGAAAATATTCTAAATGCACACACAAGTACTCTAGGTTTCCGATTGACAATACCTATATATGGTAATTTGTTAAAAAAAAAAAAATCAATCTTATACGCAAAAAGAAGAAAACACTTGCTGTGGTCTTCAGCTCGACATTTAGATATATCGACGACGTACTGTCAATTAACAAGGGTTATTTCAATGATCGTGTCGATACCATGTATCCTGGTGAGCTTGAAATAAAAGATACCACAGTGTCTAACACGTCTGCTTCATATTTGGATATTTTACTTGAAAAAGACATTATTGGTAATCTAAGTAAACGACCAACTTTATGAAAAACGTTATGACTTTTCAATTGTCTTACTTATGCAGCAATATACCTACCACATCTGCATACGGGGTTTATAGCTCTCAGTTGATTTTATACGCAAGAGCATGCTCTACGTAACTATGTACAATTTCTAAAACGAAGTAAATTACCGGTATTTTACAAACAAGTTGATGAAACAAGAACATCAGCAGTCTCGTTTAAAGTCATGATCATCATTTCGTAAGTTCTATGGTCGATTCAATGACCTAGGCAGCAAATACAATTTGTTATTGGGTCAAATGCTGACTGACGTTTTTCATACTTTTCCTTATTCACATTTGTCTTTGTTTGCTCTGCTCCTGTTTTGCATCGTTTTATGGACTTCTGAGCTTTAATAATGTTCGTTATCTCCATATATTTCATTCCAAACTAAATTGTCGACGGATTTTACGATCATGACAAGAAGCACAGGGTGGGCGTGAGCGGTCGGTAGAAGAGGCTCACTCCTTCAGGCACCTGATTCCACCTCTGATGTTTTTGAGGTTCATGTTTGCTCTGCTCAAATTTTGTATTGTTTTATGAATTTTTGAGCTTAAATACTGCTCGTTATCTCCATTTATTTCATTAAAAAATAATACTGTACGAGCTCAAATGAGAGAAGAGCAAACACGGGCCTCTAAAAGCATCAACAATGGGATCAGGTGCGATGAAGGAGTATGATCTCCTGTAGACCGGTCTCACCCACCATGTGCTCCTTGTCACGATCGACCAGTTTATGAATAATGATTGACCATGCTCTATCAATCAGCATTCGAATTAATGATAGATTGTACAGTATTTGCTAATAAGGTCTTTGTTTTTACCATAGATCTTGCAAAATTATTTTTTTAACAAATAGTTGATACATGTATCATTATCATTGTTTCATCAATTTGTATATCAATAACTTGCATTAGAAATTGTTCGTGCAAAGAGCACGCTCTTGTGTTATTTATCAAGAATATGAAACAAGGGTATCAGCAGTTTTTTTAAAAGTCATCATTTCGTAAGTTCTATGGTCGATACAATGACCTTGTCAGCAAGCACAATTTATCATGGAGTCAAATGCTGACTGTAGTTTCTCTTACTTATAAAATTAAATATTGTTAAGCCATTTATATAAACACTGAATTGATGACATATTTGTTCGTTATTTCTCGAATATGACAAGGAGCACAAGGTGAATGTGACTGTTTGGCAGGGGATTTTCACTCCTCCATGGCACCTGACCCCACCTCTGATAATTTGGAGATCCTGGTTTCCTCTGCCCCAAGAAAGGGAAGTTTACGTAAGTTTATCATGGGTTTTCTTGTTGTTCTTAGATTTCTATTAACGTCTTTTTCCTTTAAAATATCTAAATTTTGAAGTTTTTTTTAAAATAAATTCTGCTTCGTATGAATACAAAAATAGGTGTGCTAGTAACGGGGAAATTTGTACCATGGGAATTCCGAAATATTGGACGATATGATCTCCATAAACTATATACAGTGTAGGTATTGTCAATCAGAAATTCGAGAATCTTTTTCAGAGAACTTGTGTGTACAATCAAATTTTTTTTGAAAATTCAAAAAAATAAATTTTGAAAATGACCAATGACAAGTTAAGGAAATATACAATGTTTTACATTTTGTTGAAAAAGCAGCTGTCTAAGATATTTAAAACTCTAGACTTTAATTTACCGTGGGGAATGGTTGTATATAGTGTTGAGAAGTTTGTTTGTTTATTCAGGAAATGGCACAAGTCATATATGAAACATAAGATAGAAACATTAGAACATAATTGGCACATGGAATCCAAAGAAATCATAAGATTTCGTAAAAAATACAATTGTAATAAAACACTGGCATTATTTCATAAAAAACAAGTACTTAAGAAAAAACATTTAATTCAGTATATCTAAAAGAGAATGGCGGGTAACTATATAATTTTTGTACTAAGTATAGCCATTTGCCCGAGGATGACCCATGAAAGCAATAATGTGCTTAATAAGTTGCACGTTTTGATATTACTGAATTGATAAAATTTTGTAAGTTAAAATTTTCTTAAAGTTCCTTGAATTTTTTCAAGTAACTACATCTGATTTCACTGCTTGAATACATCAATTTGTTGCACCGAATTCAAAGGTTTCTCTTCACTAATATTAACATTTTAGTGGGGAAATTTTGTAGAACACGTCCTGTATCTTCGTTTGTAAGATTTTTTTTAAAGACAGAAGTTTAGAAACTCTGTATAGATATGGTAATGTTTGCAATATTTAAACCTGACATTAGATTTCATACATTTTCATCCTAGAAAGGGAGTTATATTTCACTTACCCTAAAATTCAATGACAATAATAACTATGGTTTTTTTTTTTTGTTTTTTTTTTTCATTTTCTTCAGTGGTATAAGAATAGTTCCTGATACAGTGTAAGAGATGGATATCCCAAAGCGTTATAGACGGACTTACAGACAGACGGATATCCCGACCAATATATGCACTCCCACTTTTCAAACAGGGGTATAATGGAAGGATATATTTGCTAACAAAACCATAATAACTACTATATGATTTACGAAATGCTGACTTTAAAGAAGGTTGTTGAAATCCATATTACATCAACTTATGTGTATAAGTAACCTTCCTCAGTTAAAAAATAGATCATACTCGGAACATCCTCATGAATTTGTAGACATAAACACTATATGCAGATGGTAACGGAGTTTTATTACATGATTATATATAAATAAAGTTGGCGATTGTAATACTGTTTTTAAAAGAAGTCTTTCTCGGTCATCCAATTATGAAATAAACGTGAAATTCGTAATTCCGGCAAGTTGTTGGACGATCTGGTCTCCAAAGAGACTATATAAATTCTATCAATGAAGAAATATAGCATCCTTTTAGTATTAACTTCATAGTACTTGTGTCTAGAATAAGAATAATCTTAAACAGTGATTTTGTTGATAATTACAAAAGTAGTGAAAATTCCAGCCTCCAATTCTATAAAAGAAGCAGTTGTCTTTGATATCAATAAGCCTAGTTTATTTTAATTTATTGCGAGGAACGGTAACAGCATCGCTTTGTTTGTAAGGTTCTTTATATAAATTGTATTTTAGAAGAACTTGGATTTAATTCTACAAGTGGTAATCAAACTCATACTCATAGTTCCCTTTCTGAGGAAGAAATTCTTAAAAAACATATGTCAGGTTTGAATATTTTCAATATCCCATCGAACCAAAATGATTTTGAACTACCACATGTATATTGGGTTCCGAAACTTCATAATAATCCTTACAAAGATACATTGTGGGTTCCAGTAAATATTTAACTAAGCCTCTTTCTTTACTCCTCGCTAAGATATTAGCGGTAGTGAAGGAGAAACTTCAAGAGTACTGTGCACCAATATATTCAAGAAGTAGTGTGAATCAGATGTGAAACTCAAAAATTCAACAACAACAAAAACAAACTTTTGGACCATTTGAAATCACAAGATTTTACGAAAATCAACAGCTAAAAAAAATTTAAAAACACAACCATTTCCCACGAAAAATTAAAGTCTAGGCTTTTTGATATCGTCGACAGATGCTTTTTCAATAAAAATGGAACTCGTAAATTAACTTGTTCATAGGTCATTTGCAAAATTATTTCGTTAAAACACATTCTGACTGCACACACACAAGAACCCTGAAGTTGACATCGAAAAGATGCTTGGGTACTGGAGTATCCATGTGGTGATTGGAGACAAGGTCTTCCAACAACCTATTGGAATACCCATGAGTACCATTTGCGCCCCCTTGAATGGCAGACTTATCTTTGTATTCATATGAAGCAGAATTTGTGTAAAGTGGAAAGAAGACATTAATGGTAATCTAACAACCAAGCTTTGAACGATAAACTTGATGACTTTAACTTTTCTATCGTCAACTCCCCTTACTCATTCAGCAATATACCTTCATTACCTGCAAACGAAGTTTAAATATCTCAGTTGATTCCATACTCAAGAGCATGCTCTATGTATGAAAAATTTCTAAAACGAGGTAAATTATTGGCAATTTAAACAAGTTGATGAAACAAGAATATCAGCATTCTCGGCAGTTTAGAGTCATCATTTGATAAGTTCTATGGTCGATACAATGCCCTTGTCAGCAAATACAATTTATCATTGAGTCAAATGCTGACTGACGTTTTTCATACTAATTGCTAGTCCATTATTTATAAACTGAATTGACGCCAGATTTTTTCGTTATTTCCCGATCATGACATGGAGCACACGGAAGATGTGACA